ACTACTTTAATTTTTAAATTCAAAAAATTATATGTGCTTCTTAAAATGACTCAAAAAAATTTTATTATAAAATAATATATAATATTAAAAATCCCACAACATTTTTTTACTTTACATAATCGTACTTCCTCGACGATTAATTTCCACTCAATTTCTATCGTTGACCGAACTTAGCATGCAACATTTATTAAAAAGAATCTTTACAAAATATACATTTACTTTAATTAATATTTAAAAACGTGCTCTATCAAAAGTTCCAAAAATTCAATATTTTAACTTTTCTGAGGTGTCACTTTTGATGAATTTCTGTTTACAACAATATCAATCTCTTCTGGAGAATGTCTTCTCATCTAGAATATTTTCAATACTTTACATACAAACATTTTTATTTCTAAAAAACTTTTTAATTTTTTCTAGGATATATGAATGAAAATAGTTAGAACAAGATTTTGAAGCTCAAAACATTAAAAATTATTAAAGATTTGTATAATATGATTAAAAATGGGAAATAATATGAGGCAATATTGTTGTAAACAGAAATTCATCAAAAGTGACACCTCAGAAAAGCTAAAATATTGAATTTTTGGAACTTTTGATAGAGCACGTTTTTAAATATTAATTAAAGTAAATGTATATTTTCTAAAGATTCTTTTTAATAAAAAATAAAATTTTGAAGAAGAACACAAAATCTTCTGAAAAATAATATCACATAAACTCATATTATTTTCTAATATATAACTATTTTATATAAAAACCAAATTCAATGATCTTAAAAGCGAAGGATAAACCTCAAAATTTACGAATATAATGAGTGGGAATATAATGCTTATCTATCATAAAACCATATGAAATATCAATTTTTGCTTTACGCCTAATTTTTGACGACAATTAGCAAAAAATGTTAAATGTTAACACTCAGTCCATTTGAATATGAAAAATAAAATTGACTTTGATTAAATGTTTTTATTTATCATGCAATTCTTCTTGCGACCAAAGATTTGAATAAAATTTCAAAAAATAAGATAGCTTAAAAAATAATATACGGTAGTGTTTACTAATAGATGAATAGTATATAAATTCTATTAAAATGGATTTGATCCAAAAAAATATATAAAATTTGATCATAAATAAAATCGTTTTAAATTACTTCTTCATTTAAATTATAACAATTATTTTTGGTTTTATATTTTTTGGATCAAATCCATTTTAATAGAATTTATATACTATTCATCTATTAGTAAACACTACCGTATATTATTTTTTAAGCTATCTTATTTTTTGAACTTTTATTCAAATCTTTGGTCGCAAGAAGAATTGCATGATAAATAAAAACATTTAATCAAAGTCAATTTTATTTTTCATATTCAAATGGACTGAGTGTTAACATTTAACATTTTTTGCTAATTGTCGTCAAAAATTAGGCGTAAAGCAAAAATTGATATTTCATATGGTTTTATGATAGATAAGCATTATATTCCCACTCATTATATTCGTAAATTTTGAGGTTTATCCTTCGCTTTTAAGATCATTGAATTTGGTTTTTATATAAAATAGTTATATATTAGAAAATAATATGAGTTTATGTGATATTATTTTTCAGAAGATTTCATTCTATATGCCTATGAAAACTACTCTCAAAACCAACTTTTCCCTAATTATAATTAAATCTAGAATATTGTATTATGCTTAGTATTATTTCATTTTTCTCATTCAATTTAGAATTTACAAATGTCAAAAAAATGAGAGCTGTCACTTTTGATGAATTTCTGTTTATTACAATATAAAGGAATATGAATATTAAATAAATATATCTAAATAGAAAGAATCAGAAAAATCAAATTATTGGCGCCAAAAATGTCACTTTTTAGTGAGCCATTTCGGTATGAGATAATTTTATAGTAAAATATATTATAAAGAGTATTTATATAAATATTGTAAAATAATATAAGTAATAAAAATTGAGACCCCCTCCCTGTTTTTTGATGTTTTGTCACTTTTTCGGTAATTCTTATTGTTTCGTTCTTCTTCAAAATTTTTTTTTATGTTGCATGCTAAGATCAGTCATAATGTAAACCTCTCAATTTTATTGTCGTGGGAAGTATCTCAATTCCTTCAAAAAAATTGAAAAACTATTTAATTTTAAAAATATAATACTTTTAATTAGTTAATTAATTGGAGATATTTTTAAAAATCACTTTTGATAATACTTTTGAGAACTTTAATTAAAAAAATATATTCAAAAATATACAGGATATCAAGAGGGAATTATTCCTTATGAGGTATATAGTTATGATGTATACCTCATAAGGAACAATTCCCTCCTTAAAATCGTAGACATTTTTATACTTATTAATCAACCATTCAAAATTATATTTTTCGTGACAAAACATCAAAAACAGGGAGGGGTCTCAATTTTTATTAGTTATATTATTTTACAATATTTATATAAATACTCTTTATAATATATTTTACTATAAAATTATACCTCAAATTCAAATATTTAAAATATTATTTACATAATTATCTCAAAATTATATTTTTATATATTATTTTTCATATGTATAAATCATATAATCTATATCTATGCAAATCTCACCTAAATTTTTTGAAACAAACCGCTACCATTTTATAATGGTCCATCTGAAATTCATCATAAATTCTGGTACATGTTAGTACCAGAGTCTTCAAATCTCAAACACTCTGGTACCAACATGTACCAGACGCGAGTTTCCAATGCCCTCGTACGATTTTCTATTAAGATCTTCTTGAATGAGAAGGTCTTCATAGAAACTCGTACGAGGGCTTCTCTTTTAAATACTCTGGTACCTGCTGGTATCGGAGTCGACTTTACAGCCCTTTCCCCAATTTTGAAGCTGGGGAAAGTTTTCAAGCAATGAAAGGGAAGCTCTCGCTATGAGGTGAAAATCTAGAATTTTTACCTCATAGCGAGTAATCCTTTGTTAATTGCTTGAAAACTTTCTTCAAATTATCAAAATTTCGAGGAAAGTTTCCTTGCTTCAAAGTAGAGATGGAGCCCTTTGAGCCACTGCATATAGGTCAGTGACTCAAAATACTCCATCTCTACTAGAAATCGCCAAAATTTGGGTCGCAATCTTTGAAATGCGACGCAAGTTTGGGCCATTTCGCGAGGGACTTGCTCCATTTGGTGCATAGATTCACACTCTATGCACCAGATGGAACAATTCTTTCGCTGACAGCGGGAAACTTTGTCTGAATAGTTTAACATTCAGACAAAGTTTCCCGCTGTCAGAGAGGGAATGGAAGGGTAAGAGGTATATATTCATAATGTATACCTCTTACTCTTCCATTCCCTCAAGAAAGTTCAAAAACTTGGGTGCAATCAGTTCTGATTGCACCCAAGTTTTTGAACTTTATATAAGGAATTGTTGGCTATGATGTACTGATCATGAATCAGTACATCATAGCCAACAATTCCTTCGCAAACAGTGGGAAACTTTGTCTGAATAGTTTAACATTCAGACAAAGTTTCCCGCTGTCAGGGAGGGAATTAGAGGGTGGGAGATATATAGATAGACTATAAATCTCTCACCCTTTAATTCCCTCAAGAAAGTTCAAAAACTTGGGTGCAATCAGTTCTGATTGCACCCAAGTTTTTGAATTTTGTATAAGGAATTGTTGGTATGCTATGATGTGGATAGCCGCTGCCAGACCAAATGAATTAACCGTTGTGAATAACGTTTTCTGAATCTTTATTTAAAAAGATAAAATATCACGATTTTGGCTGCGTTAAAATCAAAGAATTGATGTTTTTGTCAAAAATCTTTTAGAAGAAGTTGCACCCAATTACTTTTATCGTATTAAAAACGATTTACTTCAAACAGGTTTTATTCCTTCAATTAGAATTCGCGAGCCTCGATTGACAGATTATAAAACAAAATTGAAAGAGAAGTTCAATCACGTTTATACCAAGTATTAAATTTTTCAGAATCACGAAGCCAATTTGAATCCATTAGGATTTTTATTGGAAAATGCTGAAAAAAAACTTTCTCAAATAAATGAGAAGATACAAAATTCAATTACATATTTAAGATCGTTTGAAATTCCAAATGAATTGTTAGATACGTATATGTTAGAAATTAATGAATTTTGTTATAATTCTCCAGATTATATTTTAGAACATTTCGAAGAATTTTTAGATGATTTCAAAGAAAAGAATAATTTAATAGACTAAAAATTTTATTATTTTTATTTATTGTGAATTTTAAATTGTCACTTTTTAAGTGTTACTCCCTATTGAAGGTGTCACTTTTGGGGTGTCACTTTTTCGGAAATTCTTATATACTCTCTTCTGAGGAGCTCTAAGTTCGTCAGTGCTGCCTTGTATACGGATCCCCTGACGAGTAGCATGTAGTGTCCTCCTTTCCGCTGGCTGGCGAAGCACACAGCCATGTCAGGTGGGATACCGTTTGAGAGAGAGGGGGATATCTTCACAACAGGCAAGTCACACTTCCACACGATGAAGTCTGGTATTATGTTCATGCTTCCGTTTTTGCTGCGCTTGATGTACTTGTCGTATACGCTGATGAGCCTGTTGTTCACATCTTCTGCACTCACACCGAGAGACATGCAAGCCACGTTAGCCATTGCGCATGCTGTAAGGAACGAGCACTTGTTGCCGTCTGTGTTCACCTGTGCCCAATCTGGCATCTGTAGTGTGATTGCTTTGTCGAGCTTCATTTGAGTATGTAGGTCGAGTGTCACTCCACCAACAATGTGGCTACTAGCACCTTTACCCACTGTTACGTATACACCGCTGTCGTCCATGAGAATATCCGCGTCTGCCACGTATGAGTTCCTGTGTGAGTTGAAAACACCAACATTCCCTCCTTGTCCGTTCAGCTGTGAGAATTTCCTCTTCCGGATCCTGAATGTGGCATGCACATCGTTGTTTTCGTCCATCGAGATCAACACAGAACAGCTTTGAGGTATGTGTGTTTCCTCGACGTTCATTTTTAAAAATGTTAGCGAGAAAGAGTAGAAAGTACTGGGATGCAATGAAAGCACTAGGCATTGAAGACGCGCGCGATGTATCGGTGCCATCTGCTGTTGAAAGGATACTCAACAACGTGAGCCTCTGCTGGGAGCTCAAGAACGTTTTCTCCAACATGAGACAGGCAAACCAGCTGACACAATGTAATGCATGAAAAATAGCGTGACTTCATTTTTGACAGTTTACAAATGTAAAGTGTTGCATCCTTAAAAACTTGGAAATATATACATTCATGAATTATCAGAAAAAAAAAAGGTAGTGGGGCTTCCAGGCGCGTTGCGCCCTCTAGCCCTGAAGATGTTTAGTATAAATGAAGTTTTTATTCGGAAAATTGTTAGTCTTCTGGTGTGAATTCGGAGGACTCTTCTTCTTCCTCCATTGCTTCTGGGAAGAAGCCTTCTTCTGGGTCGAAAACATTATATAATGTGTCGCTTTTCACAAATTATATATGTTTTCACGTTTTGTCACTTTTCTGTCACTTTTCGGGTAAAAACATTTTTATTATTATATATAAATGAATTTTACAAAACCACCGTTACCGTTCTTTGGAAATAAGAGTAGATGTAAAGATATTATATTGAGAGAACTTAAGAAACTACCGAATGGTCTAACATTTGTAGATTTGTTCGGTGGAAGTTTCTATATATCCCATTTATGTCATACAATATTCCCAGACTCAAAGATTATATGCAATGACTTCGACAACTATATGAACCGTCTCAAACATATTCCAGACACAAACAATATATGAAAGAGTTAAAAGAAAAGATACCTATAGGTAAGATGGAACGTATACCATTAGATAAGAAAAATATTGTGAGAGAGGTTTTGAAAAAAAGCAGAATATATAGACTGGGATAGTATATCTGCTAGACTATTATATAGTGTTCTATAAGAGTTCATGACATTGAAACACTTATGTCAAAAGTTTTATATCTTAACTATACAAATGTTTTCAAAGAGAACATAGAAAAATATATTGAGGGTATAGAGTTTGTGAGATGTCATTGGACAGAGTTGTATGAAAAATATAAAGACAAGGAAAATGTTTTCTTTATAGTGACCGCCGTTCTATAACACATGGGATTTTCAATACCAAGTAGACTGGACTTTGAGAGACTCTTTAGAAACTTTAGACGTTATACATAACCATCCATGCTTTTACTTTACATCCGATAAAAGTGGTTTGGAAACCGTTATGAGATGGTTAGAGGACATACATGACTATGAGTTTATATATGACAAGATAGAATATGAGAGAGGTCCTATAAACTGGAGAAAGTGTCACAATAAAGAAATTTTATTAGTAAGTAAATGTGGTTTGAAATAGGACTACTTGTTTTAGGTTTTTTCCATTGTGTCATTTATTATTTGACGTGGCAGAAAAGTACAGAGAATATGAAGATGAACCAATGCCTGCAAATGTTCAGTATATGTACTCGTAAGAGATATTTTTATCTAATATTAAATGGACGCACAGAACTTAGCGAATGCACAGCAACCTGGACAACCAAACCCAGAGAATATTCCAAATGAAGTTAGAATACAAACTGCAATGGCAAACTATGGTCAAGTGCCAACAGATGTACAAATGCAAACTGCCATGTCAAATGACGCTGCGTTAGGTTTGCCACCATGGTATGCAAATATGAGATGGAAAGAGTTTTATACAAACCCTGAAGTGGGATATAAACAACTTTATGCAGATGACGCGAACACAGGAGTTGACCCAGAATATGTTTTCTTACCAGAGGAGAAACAGAATGTATGAGCTCCAGTTAAAGAATGCTATGGAACTCAACAGGAAACGTAAGAGACTAGGCGGACATTAGATTTTTACATATAGTAAAATGGGTTTCTTCAGTAGTATTGGAAACTTCTTCAGAAGAGTTGGAAGAGGTATATGGAATGGAATAAAATCTGTCGGAAGAGGAGTATGGAACGGTGTCAAAAATATTGGTAAAAGAGTAGTCAGTTCGTTGGTATTATACCTAAAGACCCTGAACCAGAAGAACAAGCTCCTGTTATACAACAGCTGAACCTGCACCACAGTCTAGTTGGCAACCAAATCCAACACCTCAACCGTATTAAAAATTATTATTTTTACCGTTCGATAGTAGTTGTATATGAAACTAAGTTCTAAGTAAAACGCATGGTATAATGGAATTATTCTTTTTCTTCCATCTGTAGTAAACCATACTTGAAAGTCTGAAATACTTCCACTTGGTGGTTCGTATAACTTTGTAGGTTTTTCGTAAAAGTCATTTGCCAAGCATAAGAAAGAGTTTTTGGCGCCAGAAAATGAAGCATGAACAATAATAGCATCTTGGTCGAAAACATTTTCATATGTTCCATTAGGGTTTTCGACTTCATAAAAGTCTGGGTGTACTGGATATGCTGCAGGCTGATTTAACATCCTCATAAATCTATACCATGCCAAGTTGTTATATTTTGTAGAAATATAAACGTTTTCTCCAAGGTCTTCTATTTTATTGATTTTAACAGTTGCATTTTTCCTGTCATAAATAATATCGAGATGGTATTCTCCTTCGTCAATGTTATTACTGCTTTGCATATTCGATATAGATATCGTTTATTTTTTCTTGAAAAGCTTGAAGAGTTGTTTCTAAGTTTACAAGCAAACTAACTTGTAAAAGTTTTCCCTGTTCAAATTTCTCATACGTATGTTTTTCTTTGTTATAGTATCGAACTACAAAACCGACCTAAATGGGAAACCATGTATGGCTTCTGAAATGAACTTCATTCTACGAAAGCCAATAGCTTTTGTGACAGATGGGTCTCTTAACCATCTTAACGGGTAGTCAAAACGATAGCCTTCATGCTTTACGGTCTCTGTCTCAAACTTTTGACCGACATTAGTAAAAGTTCATCTAATGGTTTAGTTGTAGCAACTCTTGAATTTTCTTTTCTATTGGAAGCATATTTTTATCTATAATAAAAATGTCGAAAGATATTGCTTCCATGAGAGAAATACAACACAACGACAACTCATTATGCAAGCTCTAAATAAGAACACAACAAACTTTTCAAACTATTCTAAGATATCTGAGTCATTGAAAGAAGGAAACTTAAAACTGACATTAAACCCAATGACAGATGAGTTTCTGTTTCAAGACAATAAGAACCATACTGTCTGTATAAATCCAACAAAAGGAACTTTAAACGAGAAACCTATAAATGAACTTCTTTTGAAGGCAGATGTTGACAACAAAGCTGACAAAGAATATGTAGACGATGCAATAGCAAAGAAGAAGAAAGAGCTAACAATGCTTATGCAACAAAAGAACATACTCATCCTGAACTAGCAGACAAAACATATGTTGACAATAAAATGTCAAGTGAAGTGACAAGAGCTGAAAACGAATATTCTAAAAAGACTCATACACATTCTATATCTGAAATAACAGACTTACAAGAAACCTTAAACAGGAAAAGTGCCGTTGGACATACACATACCATTGCAAATATTACAAACTTACAAAAACCTAAACAGGAAAAGTGCCGTTGGACATACACATTCTATATCTGAAATAACAGACTTACAAGAAACCTTAAACAGTAAAAGTGCCGTTGACATACACATTCTATATCTGAAATAACAGACTTAAACGTTAGCCTTGAAAAGAAAGCAGACAAGAAACCATACACATGATTTCTTCACAACTGTTGCTATAGAAAGTATTAAGGAACGGTTGAAGAAACTGGTGGGGATGCATTATATTGTAAACCTCCTAACTTTCCACAAGGTTTAACATCGGATGACGACATAACGACGATGAGAAACATTAGATGTAAAAGATGTTTATGTCATGAAGGATGAACATAATATTAAATTCACTGCTCAAGATTTATATGACAAGAAAGCAGACAAAACAGAGCTTTCAAACATTAAAGACAGAGAAATACTTTCAAACATTATATCCTATAGGCTCTATTTATACGTCAATGAACTCTACCAGACCAGAAGTAGTACTTGGTTTTGGAACTTGGACTCAAATAGTCGACAGGTTTTTGTATTGTGCAAACTCTTCAAAGGAAACAGGTGGAAGTAAAACGATTTCAGGTGAAAATTTACCTGCACACAGTCACTACATAGATTTAAGTACATCTCAAGCAGGTTGGCATAAGCATAATTTTGGGATTGGTCAGCAATGACAAAAGGTAAAGGATATGATGTTAAAGACAACGTTCAGTTTGCTATAAATTGTTTCTGGGTAACACTCAGGGAGATGGAAACCATACACATCGCGTTACAGGATATACGCAAACAACGGGACAAAGTAAAGAATACATGCCACCTTACATGACAGTTTACGCATGGTATAGAAATGCTTAGTCGTCATTTTCAACTTCTTTAGCATATTCGTCAGGAGTTGTCTTATATTTGTTAGGAACTGTCTTTGAAAGTATACCACCTTGAACTTTGACAAGTTTGAAACGAGGTCTGCAATAGTAGTTTTATCTTCTGCTTGCAGTGTGTACATTTTGCCATGTTTGCCTAAAACTTCATAATATTCTCTTGTATACTTTCTTCTATTTTTACGAACACGAATGTGAGTACCTGTCGAGTTCCCATTGTTGTCATAGTCAATAGTATTTTCATATGGGTCGCGTTTAGGTATTTCTATTTTTACTTTGTCACCTTTCTGAAGTTTGAAGCCCGGCATTCTTTCTTGTTTGTCTCTTTTGACTAAATTATTAAATATATAGTCTTTCTCTAAGTCAGGGTTGTTTTTCATTTCTTCGGGGGAGTGGTTTCCCAAACCTTTTTGTTTACGGTTATTGTAAATATTTAAAACTTGTCTCATCTTTGCCATGGAGAAGTGTCTATACTTGTCGTCATATGACATTTCATTTGCTTCACCACCTTGTGGTTGGTTTAAGTCTCTTAACATTTTTATACAACCGTCAATGACACCAAGAGCAGAATGGTTTTGGTCGACAATGAAATATTGGTTTACATTTTTTGAACGCAGATAGTTTTTAATATCATCTGATTTGAAAGAACTTTCACAGTCAGATGTCAGTTTTGTTGGATGGTATTTGTCAACGAATATTGTCAAAGCAGTTTTCACATCTAAAATATTTTTGGACCATAATGGTATGGCTTCACAGTATCTTGTGTTTTGACCG